GCCAAGCTACATTAGCTTTGATACTTGATGTCTTTTGCAAGGATGTTTTCTTAATTGTATGGATGAATATAATTTTATTTGTTTGCATATCCATTTTCATCTTTTATCCGCCTTTTTTATTTTGACAAAAGGATAGAAGTATACTCTCAGGGAGGGGGGGGGGGGGGTATACACTCTAACTAACTCAGGGAGAGTGTTATCATCTAAAATAATTTTTATTTTTAATCTTTTATGTCCTCCCCTGAGAGATGTGTTGTCATCATCAAAAAGGGGGAGAATGTGGAACCTTGTTTTGAAGGTATTAGGTGTCTTTGTTTTGATGATGACAATTTTGAAGTACAGAACAAATAGTTAACATATTGAAGAATCAATATAGATTTTTCCTGAACTATAAAAGAATAGAATAGATAAATTAGCATGATAGATGCAACATACCCTTTACTATAAAGTACAAAAAAAATATTTAGAGATGCAGCATGATAACAATTATAAAGGATCAGAAAGCGAACATTCAACATAGTACAGATGCAATCACAAAACAAGTCAACCAATATACTCTAAACAGTTAAAGATGCAAGACATGGGTTTAATAAAGGATGATAAAGTTTTAGACATCAACAAAGGTTGTTAAGACAAAGGCAAACAAACTAATTACATAAAAAACCTCAGGAGATCTCAAGCAAGTTTCAACACAATGAAGACATCAGATACATGCTTAGGGAAGTTATCCCAATTTAGTAAGTGAGTGAAACTTTTATAAAAGAAAAACTTATTTCTTTATAAAGTAGATTTCTATAAGCGTGCACACACACACACACACACAAGTGCACACACTTAAACTTTTTATAAAATATTTTTGAAAAGATAATACCTTATAAAAATATATAGAAGTTGATTAGAAAGTGTTGGGAACATTCAAAAAGCCAGAAGAATTATTTTGACTGGATATAATCAATTAGCACAAAGTATCAATCGATTAGATTGGCTCTTTTTTTTAGAAACAAGACAGTTTGAATGTACCCAAATGATTAGCAACAACTATATATCAATTCTGACCTATTTTGGAACACATAGCCATTTTTTTAAATGCTTTAATCGATAGGTTTAATCAATTAGAAACGTTCAAATTTGATTTAATGATGTTTCCTCTTTTGGAGGATTTGCACCATATAAATAGAGGTGTCATTCCTCGGTTCAAATCATCCAGATGACGAAATGTGTATTGACATACAGAGATACACACTCTCTCTAAGTTTTATTTGTCACTTTCTCTTACTAGTTCTTATAATCATATGCTTTTATGAAGAAAGTTCTTTTATGAGTAAGGTGTTTATGTAATTCTGGATGGATAGATATGTATAAAGTTCTTCAAGGTTATTATTCATGGACCTTGGATGAAGACAATCTATTTAGGAATAAAAATATGAGGTTAGAAGCTAAACCCGTTAAAATATTTGGTTAGAGATTGTGTGATCAGTTCTCAATATTGAGTTAGGTTGAAGATCGCCAATATGGTTGAACTTCCCTTAAGGAAATTATAAAGCCTTGTTCATTCGAAGGATGAAGTTCTTCAATATTGATGAACTTACAATTAGGTTTATGGTTAGCCCGTATAAAACCATAAGTTAGAAGATCAGCTTGTTAAAATCTCAAGAAGTTAATGGTTATCCTGTTAAACCATATTGAGCTCAAATATTTTATGGAGAGAAGTCTTACCACTTCAATCTACCGTTGGGAAGGAAGCTTGACCATTGTAGTCTCAACATTTCAATGGAGAAGACACAATCTATCATAGCCTTCGTCTTGTATAAATATGGTTGTATGTTAACCACCATTTCCTTGTATCAGAGGGTCCGTGAGTTTCACCTAATAAAAGTTCTCAAGCATATAATGGAGACTCTCAAGACCAGTTCTTGGGGAGAAAAGTAGGTCCTTTTGATATGACTAAAACTCTATATATCGTGGTGTTCTTCTTTTTCCTTAATTTTTTACTTTCCGCATTTTACTTTAAGAAATACTTTTATATTCCACTACTAAGTTATAGAAAAATCTCTTTCAAACTCTGATAGATCTAAGGTTTTAGAAAAAGTTTTTCAAACTCTGATTTTAATCTTGAAATTTTTTTCAAAACCATGTTTTTTCCAAACCACATAATTCACCCCCACCCCTTCTTGTGTGTGAAGTCTAAAATCCAACAACAATTAGATTGGTGATTGCTATAGCTGCTAATAGAAATTGGCCTATGATGCATCTGAATGTGAAATCTGCATTTCTGAACGATCTTTTACAGGAAGAGATATACGTGTCACAACCTCCTAAATTTGTGAAGAAGAACAAGAAATAGGGTGTATAAGTTACATAAAACGTTGTATGGACTAAAACAGGCTCCTAGAGCTTGGAATCTAAAAAATTGATTCATTTTTCAAGCTGCAGGGACTCAAAAAGTGTGAGATAGAATATGTCGTTTATGTTCAGCATACTTCTGAAAGAAATATGATTATGTTGTGTCTCTATGTTGATGACATATTTCTAACAGGAAACTGTTCAGATGAGATAGTCAAGTTCAAGAAGGTGTTTTTGAATGAGTTTGAGATGACTAATATGGAAAATATGGTATATTTTCTAGAGATAGAGATTGTGTATTCTAAGAAGAGTATAGTTTTATATCAGCTGAAGCATGAATTTGAGCTTCTTAAGATATTTGAGTTAATAAATTGCAAGACTGCAATCACACCTGCAAAGATGAGTCACAAGATGAATTCTGATGTTGAGAGTGATGATGTAGATGCTATAACTTTTAAACAGTTGATTGGCTCATTGAGACATCTGTGTAACATCAGACTTGACATTTGCTATGCAGTTGGAATAATGAGTAGGTTTATGAACAAAACAAAGTGGTCACGTTATCAAGCTTCTCTGAGATATGGAGTGTTGATCAAGAAGCTGTTTACAATTGAGTTTCTCTCTCCTTCAAAATTTATTGTAACCGATATCTCTCTATTCTCTTTCTCTCTCTTCTTTCATCTTCATCTTCATCTTCATTTTCAATCTTGTGTTGTAACATACTACAATACTCACAAATGCAATATAAACTCTGATGTTAACATATGGTGTGATGTTAACAAATGATGGATTAGAAAGAATCTATTTATAACGTTTATTTTCACAATTATTGATAAAATTTGTCCAAAAAATACAATCCACTCACACATCAAGCAATCAATAATGTTTGGAGGTACATTGCGGAGTAGTATTTGATTTGATTAATGATAAAAACGGTATAGAAACAACACTATTCCTAGTATTATTTATTATACAAATCCAAAATCCTTTTATGACTAGGTATAGTATTCATTTTGTATCTTAATCCGACACACACGAGAAATGTTTAAACAGTAAAAGGCAACCATCAAACACAAAGGTACTTTACCTACACGACACAACACAACAACAAAGTCGCTGGAAACAGAACAACCTTTCACACCAAACTATTAGCTTGAGAGTAACTTTGACATATTTTTGCAATTTGCAACGAATGATGTAGTTGTTGATTGATAAATAGTGTGACAAAAGGACACTATAATTGGCCTTATTTAGGAAAAATACAGTACTTTGCCCAATATGCTCAAGTGAGATTTTTCTTCTGCCTCTTCAATTATGTAAAGAGATAGCTAGTAGTACTCACCTCCATTAATGTGTCTCTAGGAAAATCTAAGAAATTTCTGTTGAGTTGTTGTATAGTATGCCACAAATTGTATGGTGGGAAGATAGAGAAAGAATCAAAATAATGAAATACAAATTATACCGCACTTACAAAAGTTACACTGACATTCAACACATTTTTAATCGTTCGATTAAAATCAAATGATGTATTAAAAATTTGATATTTTATTTTGAAACAATTAAAAAATTATGTTAGATTATGAATCATCCGATTTTGATCTGATGATCTTAATATACTAAATATATAAATATTATAATATTTTAATTATCAGAGATTTGATTTCTATGAAGAGATGCTCAAATCACATTTAATCTAGTTTTGTCTTAAAAAATTGATAATTATTCTTTAAATTCATTTGAGACAAATGAATTTGCTTTGGTGCATAAAATTTATTGCAAACTTAAAAGATTAAAGTTTTCAAATGTAAATTACTTTAGTTCAAACTTAATTAATTTAAACTAAAATTAAGAATATTCAAAACCTATTTAACATCAACAATTTAAATAGAAATAACATATGATGTTTGATAGAATCAAACATCAACGTCGGCAAATATGATTATATTTAATTTTTTCTAAATTATTAAATGTGTAATGTTTATTCAGCCTACGAAATATTTAATAACTTAATTTTTTTTTTCTTCTATGATTCTATTGAACGAGTATTAAGAATATTCAACTCATTTACAAAACTGAAAAGACCCTAATAAAAGAGAAATGAATAGAATCTTTACGAGCTCAAAACCAAATTGATTTATAATTATTAATAAATATTATCTTTTTAATTAATCTTTTAAACTAATGTGTTCTTAATCTCCACAATTATGATGAATCTAATGTCACAACAACAAAACTCATAAAATAAAATAAAAACTAAAAGAAGATACCACATCAACAAGATATCTTGCTAGAATTTAAAGTTTTTGCACAAAATTCAAACACCATACATACATAAGCCATGTATGATGGTTTAAAGTTAAACATCATAAGACATCTTAATACATATTATAATTAATAAAACCCATTATTTGATAAGAAACAAACTCAAAGTACCAACACTATCCTAGAAAATTTGATTGCCCTTCAAACATCAAGAGCAAACCAAAGAGATTAATTACAACTCTAAGTGCATATTTGTATTCACGATGAGTCTGACAGAATCACGATCTATTAACGCGATTTCGACAAATAATACACTTTTAAAATTTCAACAAAATCTAAATTCATCGTGAATCCAAACATGCACTAAACTTGCAGAACCAGAACCACCTTAAAGATTACCTTTTGGAGAATCCTAGGAGTCCTCTATTAACCTTTGTGCTAGTTGAACGAGGAAGACCGAAGCATAGTGTTGAAGTAGGTGAAGCAACATGTTCTTCTTCTCCTCTAAAATCAAAAGATGAACCACAGCTTAAGAAACGTTTCTTTGTTCCAAACTTTCTTATAGGAACAACTTTAGATGAGTTAGATGAAGAAGAAGATGAAGAAGAAGAAGAAGAAGAAGAAGATGAATAGTAAGGTGAATTAGTAGGTGTTAATGATAACGATGATGATGATGATGAAGAAGTAGAAGACATGATGGATTTTTTAAGATTTAGTTTTGGGAAAAGTGCATGAAAAAGATTGGATCTCAAGCTTTTGTTAACTGGCAATGATTTGCATGAATAATAAGAAGGTGGAGGAGTAAGAGGAGGAAGAGATTGTTGAGAGAGAGTGTGTTTTGGTGTGCCAGGTTGAGATTCCCAAACAAAAGGGACAGTGAGAGTTATTCTAAAAGATGGATTGGAAATGGAACTTTCTTTTGTAAGAAGTCTGCAGAAAAACTTGTCATCTTGTTTGATTTGGAGGATGGTTTTTTGGGGTTGATCTGATTTGGAAGTAAACATGTTTGAATGAGAATTTTGGTTTATGAGTTTAGTTGAGTGAGTTTGAATGAATCATAATGTGTGAAATGGCTTGAGATGAGAAAAGATGTGTGATATAGAGATTTGGAGTTTGTCTTTATTTATATTTAAATAATACTTTTGAGTGTCATATTCAAATGAAGTCAGCATGTATATATCTTTTAATTAGTTATGGCTAATTTAATAAACTAATATGAAACACATGCAGCTCTATTATTGAAAGGGATTGGTATTAGTATAAGTATATGACACTTATTATGATCTTAATGTATTACCTAAAAATTGAAAGAAAAATGTCAAAACAAATTTAACCTATGATTTCAATGACTCTCATTTACTATTACATTACTTTAAATAGAATTAAATTTAAGGAAAGTCAAATAAAATCTCGGGTTTTTATTACGAGGAATAAGAAAATCTGAATGGCGATGAACTGAGAGATTTATAAACATTATGACGATCAAGTCATTAGAGGTGTTGAGTGTAAAGTTACATTAGTTAAAATAAAATTGAATTTAAATAAAGTCATTGATTTCTTTTACGAATGATTTAGAAGATCCAAGTGATGCTGAATTTATTAACGACAATTGTTATTGTTTGTTGCTTAGAACAGTACGAGAGTTGTATTTGTAAACAGTTTGACAAATAAGGAAGTAGAAAGACATGAATGCGAGATTTAAAATTTAGAATAATGCATATATGACGATAAGTTAGGGGTGTAAAGTTTAAAGGTCTTAGAATCTAGAGAATACTGTCTTGAGATATAAATATCTAAGAATTTTATATATTGTGTCTAACTAACAGATTTCAGAAGTCGAACAACACGGAAAACATGTAACCCTAGAATGTGTTTGCTTTCTGATTCGCCTGTCTTCAGAGATAAATGTCCAAAAATCTTATATTTATATCTAATTAATGATTTTTAGAAGTCGTACAATTTAGATAACATATAACTCTAAAACATATTCACTTTTTCTGATCCGTCTCACTTTTCATAAATATGAAACACTTAGTTTAAGATAGATTGGACTTGAATACATTTCAAATATATGAGAAGTACCCTTTTTAAATTAGTCTAATTTATGAAGACTTGTACATTTTCCCACACGACCTGCTTGATCTAGCAACATGATCTACCCAAATAACATGCTAAATTTAAGGACTACTAAAGAGTCAAACTTGAAAATACTAACTTCACAGGGTAGCTAACATGCCACATTAATAAGGGATACTATTCAATTCTTATTGTATTGTAATAAACAAATAAAATCAAGAATTTTCTTGTGTTACGGGCCCTTCACATGCACCTTCCAGGAATTTACGCCATTTATGTGTTTATGAATTGAATAATATTAACTAGGCCATTGTTAATTAATAAAGTAGGTTAAGTTAATTGATGGATGCAACTGAAGTATAAATGAATTGGAAAAAAAGATCAACTAACTGTGGACATTTGTGTGGTCCATCTCTAACATTTGTGATATGAAATTAAATTTGAGTGGATTGTAGTCATTGTCTGTGACTGTGAGTGTTACTTAAGGTAAGTTCGTGGCATTTTGTGTTTGGACATGATACCATTATTAGAAATATCTATATACATGTGTATATTTTTTTTGTGAATCATGTCATAACTCATAATCACAAAGATATAAAGTTAAGGTTTATAGTTATATAACTTGTATAAGAATTTATGAAACCTTCGTTTCAAGTGATCCTTTCCTTAAGTTTTCTATTTTTAGCAAAGAAAATGATTAATTTCTTTCCTTGTCATTGCAAGAAAAAAATCGTTTAAATATTATTGAGCAACTAAGAATGTGGATCACACGATAATTACATTGATTCTACAAAGAAAGACTCACGAGGATAATCACTTTAGTGAATTTATAATTCTTATGAACTAAAGAAAGTGAATGAAGGTGGTTATTAACTTCATTGATGAATAAAAGAGTTGCAAGTTGTGTTTATAGTGAAAGATTAGCATACACTAGTGTAAGGTGAGTTCACATATAGAGAAGTTAATTAACGGATAATTAATTTATTAACTAACTAACTAGCTTTATGTACAAGTAACTAATATTAAGTGTGAAGGTGCATCATCGTCATCATGAGTTTCATTGTGTAATAGACTCCACAAGACCTAATAAAATGTTGAGTCCTCCATTTATCTCGAGTAATAATCTCTACATTTGATAAAGGACAAATGAATGGGGAAAGCTACCATTCGTAAAGAAAAGATAACATTATTTGTTTCATTACTATTGGTAGATTTAAGTCAAACAACCTTTATATAAGCAAAGAAAGGTGAATAAATCATGGTTGAGATGAGGACGAAACGAAGAGACAAAATAAAATGGTCATATCTTATCTTGGAAAACATAATGACACTTGTGTGTTGTAAAAATATGTTTTAAAATTTTTTAAGTGATTAAGAGAAAGAAAATATGTTTAGAGATTGTTAGAAATTAGAAAGTCGAAAAGAAATCTGGTCCGAACGATTCGGAAATATCGAGTTTGATCAATATGGTTCGTGGATCCATTCATTAATTTTAAAATATTTTATATTAATTTAGAAATACTCTAAACTTATATAAAAGATATTATAAAATATTTATAATATTTTAATTTAATATAAAAGATATAATAAGATATTTATAATATTTTTTAATATAAACGATATTGTAAGATATTTATAATATTTTAAATTAATAAAAAATATTTATAATATTTTTATTTTAATAATTAATAGTTTATGTTTTTGGTCAGTTAAGAATCTGTTGGGTTTCATCATTTATAAATATGTATATTAATCATTCTTGTATTTATAACCTTCAGAACTTTATTAGCTGAAGATAGAGAGAAGAGTTAGGAATCCTCGGTAAACTTAAAGAGGCAAGAGTTGAAATTCTTTGGAGTTCTTGGAATTTGGAAATATTTTGGAGGTATCTAAGAGGTCTAGGAAACACTTCTAAACACATAAGACTTGTGTTGTTCATATATTGAGAGATGGAGAAATTGAAAAACACTTGGGTACAAATAGGGTTTGGTTTGTGGGAACTCCAAAGGATTTTTCCTTGTAACTCATTTTTAATCTCTTGTAATAATAAATTTTTGGAAATATAGTGAATTAAAGAGTTGTTCTCTCTCTCTCTCTCTCTCTCTCTCTCTCTCTCTCTCTCTCTCTCTCTCTCTCTCTCTCTCTCAGAGTAGATCGTTTGATCGAATTCAATAAAAAAGTTATTGTGTTCTTTTCTTTTATCTTTTAAGAGAAGTTTCCAGGGAGAAGATTGAAACTTCGATGTGGGCAAAACTTGAATTATTGTATATGACCAAGTCTTTAGCTCATAGGTTCTGTATGAAACAACAACTCTAATAATTATGAATGGTAGAGAACAAATACATAGTGGATAAGTTGACATAATTTCACAAGATTATTGATGATCTTGAGAATTTTGAAGTGAGTATTAGAGATAAGAACAATACTCTATTCTTGTTGAGCCCATTACTCTGATCATTTGAGCACTTTAAGGATGTCATTTTTTTAGTAAGGAAAGTACTACTACTTTGGATGAATACTGTTGAGAGATTAAAAAAAATTCAAAGGTGAAAGATTTGAAGATTGATGATAGTGATAAAGGCTTAAGTGTCTCAAAGGAATGTCCAAATTAAATAGGTTTTACAAGTCAAATATAAAATACTTTATTTTTTCAGAAACCATGTCACTTTATGAGGGATTGTCCTGAGAGGAGGGACATTGATGATTCTATTATTGTAGTTGTCTAATATGAGGATAGTTATGTGAGTTGTGGTGCATTATGGTGTCGAGTTTGGAGATATAAAAGGGTATGGTCATGGACTCATGTTTCTCTTATCACATGTGTCCAAGAAAAGATTACTTTGAGACTTCGAAGTTGAGGTAGTTTTCCTTTGTGACAATAAAGACTTGAAAGGTTTATGGTATTGGTACGGCCAGATTTAAAATCTTTGATGATCATGATTTTCTTCTTCACAATATGAGGTATATTCTAAAACTTAGGAGAGATTTGGTATTCATGTTGAACATGTGACACCATACACAAGAGGGGGTGAATCGTTGAGGTTTGAGAAACTAGTTGAAAACAACCTCATTTGGTAAATCATAAATTGAAAACATTTTAAAACCAAGTGAGTAAATAAGAAGTGGAAAACAGAAGGAGAGACAATAAAGTAAAGAGATAAGGGATAAAGAGAAATGTCAAAGATTTATACATGTTCGATCTTAATTGACCTAGTCTTGTTCCCAAGAATTATTCTTGAGAGTATCCAATATATTTGAGATATTTTAGAAGGATATGCCCACAAACCTCTTTTACATGGAAATGAATTTTTATGGCTAACTTCCAACCAAACAATGGACAAGGCTTTGAGTGGTTGTCTTCTAAACTAAAGAAAGATTTTCCACGTGCTGATATCAAACCAAGATGAAGTTTTGAGTTGGTTATCCATTGAGTCAAACCAGGGTTTACATAGGCTGACCATGAACCAAGTTGATATTTTCCATGGGCTAATCTTGAACCACTTATGCTTTTAACCAATTTGAACTTAAAAACAAGTGAGATTTTAACCAGGCTAATCTGAAACTGATAGAACTTTTAACCAGGTTAAGCTCAAGAACTGTTGTCGAGATTTTAATGGTCGGTGTTCATGAAACAAAAGAGAGATTTTCTTCTTGAAAAAACTCACGACCAAATGGGGAATTCCTAAGACAATTCCCAAACCAAACAAAAGCTTTTATTGGGTGATCTCTCAACCAAAATAGTTATTTACTCAACATTTGAGAGGTTATCTTCATGTTGATTACCATCATTTGAGAGTTGAGAGGTTAAACCACCAGAGAACCATAAAACACAAGTATTTACTTGAATTTCATTTCACCATAATGTTGACTTTATAAAGGGTAGCTTGATTCAGGAGGATAGCTTAATTAACCATCTGGAGCATCTTCG